GCGAAAGCAGTTGTACACGGAACTGGTCAAGGCAGCAGTGCTGAGTGACAATAGCGTCACTGAATCTTTGACAGGCAGCTGCCTACATAAGTAAAAACAAACAAAAACTTTACTTAATAAAAATATTAATTTTATTCTACCTGGACCACAAGGTGGCTCTTAAATATTGTATTTACCAGAATAGCAAGAACTCAGAGCACGGGACTGCAGTCATCTCAGGAAGGAGCAAGGTGTGCTGTGGGGGTCCAGCACAATAGCTGCTTCTTCAAAAGAGAAACAGACAGAACTTCCATTGACTGAAAAAGTCACTGACTGACAGCAAACTATGCCACTCATCCTTGAGACTTTTGTGGGATATTTTCTCACTCTAAACTAAGCAGAGGATTAAAAAGGAGGGAGGAGGGGAGTGCGAGGGGAAGTTCTGGGGAGTGTAATTTCCAAATTATGCCATGTCCATGTGCAATACTGGATACCATTATGAAGGAATCCACTCATGTGTGCAGTTATAATGCACTAATTAAAATAACCATAGAGGGGGGATCACAGAGTGAACCCAGTGAGGGGGGGTGTGGAGGGGAGGGAGAGAGAGAGTGCTGGGAAGGAGACTGAGCAAATTGTAAAGTGCATGTGATGATGGCTTCATGGGGGCCACTGTCCTGTGTAATTTAATGCATCCATGAAAAAAGAACTGAGCAAGCCCATGTCAAGAAAACAATTCACCATGTTCATCAAAAATTTAAAAATTCAGTTTTCAGGTGAAAATTATAATTTGAGAAATTATATTTCTCAATATTCTCATCTATATTCTTGAGTTTGACAACTTTTCAAAACTTAGATTTTTTTCCTGAGATTTATTAAATTGAAGAGGTGACAGCATCACACTGTTGATCGACAACTAAAATCCACATGATTCTGGAAACCAGAGACGCAGCATCTGCCTGGAGAGGCCATGAGCATGCTCAGTGTGAGTGAGTCCCACAGGCGAGCAAGCACTTGGGGCGCCTCTGTCAGGGCGCCTGAGGCTGAAGGTAGAGGACCCTGAACCCCTGGTGCCTGCCAGGTTTTCCCCGCCTGTCCATCAGTTTATGCTGTTGATTTTTGATATGAGACCACAAAAAATGCAAAATCCACAATACTTACTCTAATAAACTCTGATATCGTTGAATAGAAATATTTGGAAAAGGCCCCTGGGCAAGATTATAAATGGTTTCATGATATTGTTTGCCACTGCAAGATATTTTATATAATATATAACTTTATATAAAGTCTATCACTTTTGTGTTCCAAAGCAACATGAAATCTTCATTGTTTTGAGACTCTACTTTGTTCAGGTAAGATTATCATTTGACAATATTGTCTGACTTTTAAATATTACTTCAATATACTATGTTGGAGTAAAATTTGGCATTAATATTACTTGAATCAATTATTTAATCATTTAGACATTCAAAAGTTAGACTTTGTCTTTCTCTCCAGTGTATTAATCTTCAGAAACTTCAGAATTTCACATGATATTCTTAGAAGAGATTGTTACAAGAGAGAAACAAATATAAATAAGGTGTAGATTAAAACTAATTTTGAGGTATGTGACAGAAGTCCAATGTGACACAGCAAGAGGGCTGCTCCAGATGCTTCAACAGCAACCCTGAATGAGGTCACAAATCCAGGTCACTAAAGATTTTGGAAAAATAGGTGACAAGTAACAATAAGCTCCTAAAATGGTAGCACATAATTTTTCTTTGAATATAATGTATTATATGATATGAGTGAAATTTGGGGTCATGAATTGTTCATTTTAACTACTTCAATACTATCGTGTCCTGATTGATATCAGAGGTACCAGCTTCCAAAATGAAGATCAAAAGTTTCTAAATACGTGAAATACATCTGTACATTTCCCATTACTTAGAACACTACTTAATAATTGTGAGTATAGCGGAGCATTGGAAATTCTGAGTGGAAATGTGTATTTTCTCTTCAGGAGTAACCCTCATGTGCAGTTAAAGTTTGCATGATACAGTGAAAGCATTGATCATTGCTCAAGCAAGTCAAAACTGCTACCCTTGTCAAAGAGAATTCTCACATTAGATCCACTGCAGAGACCCAACTATTCAAGAAATCAAGCAGGTGGGGTCAGCACTGGCTACAGGTCTTCTTAAGTTGACCAAGGATGGGGCTGTTACTTCCTCCAATCACCAGCTTTCTTATCTGTAACAAATATCCATGCTAATATCAACTCTTCAGGGTTTTGGGAAAATTGTGAGAAAAATATATATTGGGTCTAATGTAAAGAGAAAGCTCAAAATCCTGAATATTCTAACTACCAGCAGGGGTCATTTCTAGGGGTAGTGATGTGTCTATTCTAAACACAGTAGAAAAAAAAATACTAAACATATCAGCTCTTCCACTTGGGGCCAAAATCTTGTTCTGAAGTTCCTCCAGATTGGGTCATGCAGAGACCTGGCACACACTGGTGCTAACAGATGATCTTATATTCATAGTTGTAATAATCATCCATACCCAAATGCAAACCTTGTCTCTAAGTGTTCTGCAAAAGCAATGATGCCAGCCGTTTTGACCAGAATCCTGAAATGAAAGTTGAATTCACATTATGGAATCAACGGGCTTAAAAAATATTTCTTTTCATTTTATGTTTTCACATGGGGTTAATGCATAATGGAAGCAAGTACAGCAGGAGCTCCAGTGCAGGCCTCTGAAATTCCTAGCCAGTGTAATGTTGGTGTATGTGCATGCATGTGCTAGTGTGTGTGATTTATTACTTTATATGTGAAGGTTTGCAATGACAAGAAAGGAATGCACTGCAGCAAGTTAAATATCTTAGCTATTGCATTTACAAAATATTGAGTACCATTACTATGAGAATTATTCAGTGGAAATACATTGATAAATTGATGAAAACACAACATTTCATAGGAAATTTAGCATTCTTTTTTTAGTATTTGACAGACTAAGTTGAAAAAATTACAGAGAATATACTTTTTTTTGCAAACAGACTTGTGATTATCAAATGAGACAAAAACTCAATAATTATAAAAATGGAATTATAGATTACATAAAACAAATAAAAACTGACTTTCTGCAATTTCAAAGTCCTTCTCCTGATCTTCTTTTTGGGATAATGTTACAAACAAGATAGCATGTGCCCATTTCCATACATACTAATGCTTCAATTTGTTCTTTCTTGCCTGTGACTTTTATTATTGGTGTTTTTCTGTCTAATTCATATCCTGTAATGTTAAATACAGTTATAAGTGCTAACTAAATTCTTATAGATTAGATGCTATTGATGATAAAGTACTATATATAAATCTACACATATGTACATTTGTGTCTTCAAACATATATAACATAGCTATGTACATATACTCTCACACACAGTCAACTTCCCATATCCACAGGTTCCTCACCTCTTGAAATCAGACCATGGATCAAAACTATTTGGAAAATTGTGTTTGTACTAAATATGCACAGATTTTTCCTGTTGCTATTCCCTAAATGACATGAGATGATAATTATGTGTGTACCATTCACATCACATTAGCTATAAGTAATCTGAAGCTTAATTAAGTTATATGGGAGAATCTATGTAGGTTATGTGCAAATAATATGCAATTTTATATGAGGGATTTTTGTATTCCTTGATTTTGGAATCAACAGGAGTGGGGAGGCTGGAACAAATTCCCCACAAATACTGGGAGATGAGTATACATATAAATGTTGTGTGTGTGTGTGTATGTGTGCAGATAGATGGTCAAAAAGTTAAGACTTATTGTTTACTTAGTTCTATGCTTATCAAAATATTAATCAGGAAAATAACATTCAAAAGCAATGTTGAAAATTCCATATTTTGAGAGAAGAAATTAAAGCATAGTCAAAAGATAATTTACTATAGGTTCCCACAGGATCATACATATGACACCATAAGATGTCATAAAAAATATTAATGGGTATTATTATGTTAGTTAATTCTGCCTACTTTCTGCTAACAATACTGATCCAGGAACAGGAAACCTTTTAAGTTAAATTTTTTTAAAAAATTCAGCATATTGCAAGATAATTTAGAAAAAATTAACCCAAATGTAATCATTACAATGTTGTGTTGCAGAGAAATTGAAGAAATAAGCATTTGGCCATTTGTATTGTTTGTGAGGAAAAATAAAAGAATCTTAACTTGTAGCAGAACACGTACCAATAAAAAGTCAAGAAGTAAAAATGATAAATGCATTCTTTATTCATTTATAAATGAATAAAACATCATTTTTTTTAAAGAGAGAGAGATAGAGAGGAGAGAGAGAGAATTTTTTTTTTTTTATTTTTCAGTTTTCAGTGGACACAACGTCTTTATTTTGTGTGGTGCTGAGGATCGAACCCAGCGCCCCACGCATGCCAGGCGAGTGCGTTACCACTTGAGCCACATTCCCCAGCCCCAATGAATAAAACATCATTAACCTAGGTTCATAAATCCCAAGTGGACCTTGGTGAGAGAAGCGATTCATGGGTCCACAAACACTTCGTTTTCCTGATAAGGTTAGTTACTCAAAATTTTGGAGCCACCTCACTGATGGACATGTGTCAGGTGTCCCATGGCTATAGTGCTATCATCGTGGGACTTAGGAGACAGAGGAAATACTGAATGTAGTCAATATTTAATAGAACTTAATGAGAATGCTTGTGTACCACAGCTGCTATGGTCTCCTGGGGGTGCCACTTTACTGAAAACATTGAGTCCATGAAGCTATTCTACATAGTTTTTAGACTATTTCAAAATGCAGCAAACAATATGAACTGTGACCAAAATTTAGTGCCCAATGGAAGACATTGTGTTTCTTCCTTATTGTTTTTGACTATAGTTAATTAAAAATTAGCACAATAATCCCCTGGGAAGTGGTGTGAGGCAGTGATACCTGATCCTTGTGTTTAGCTCTCCAGTATAGAATGTATTCAGAACACTAAGTTAAAAATATTTTTTTTCTTTCAAGGTAACTGAACTACACAACATCAAAAATATAACCAGACTGCCTCGAGAGACAAAGAAGCATGCAGTGGCAATTATCTTTCATGACGAAACGTCAAAGACATTTGCCTGTGAGTCAGGTAAGCAATTTCAGGCCCATCTACAACTTGAGGAAATTGAGCGGCTTCTGAGACAATGACCCAGGCAGATGAAGATGCGGTGTCTGAATTGGATGGCTCATTGTAATGAGAGGGCAGTGGAGGATGTTAGTCGCAAGTACAACATACTGATTTCTCCAGATGTTTTGGGTACTTATTGTTATCTCTCTGCGCCTGCTCCCAGGTGGTCTGAGAACTCTGGCAGTTTTCATTCAAGCTTTGAGAATTAAGTAAACCATACCAGGGCGATATTGAGTGAGTGAGCATGTGATTAGTATCCAGGTTTTTGCAGAAAGTAGCTGCAGGTATTTTGTAGGGCAATAATAATGCCACTGTACAAAAGCCTGGCAAACTCAGCCTAACTCCCCAAACATTGCAGAACAGAATTTGGGCAGTGTGCTACTTTCACCGGTTCTTGGTACCGCAAATAAATACATTTCAGATTGAATTTCAACGTGCCAGTTCATAAAGCACTCTGACAGTGGTGAGATGCAGAACTTTTTAATTTGAACTTGCAATATCCTTCACATTGGAGGCCCTGCGTCATGTCTGAGTTGACAATGCTTTTCAAAGATTTTGCTCAAAGAAACAATGTGTTTGCTTTATAATGCATGTTACCAAAAATATGAAGGGCTCGAAATATGTGAATTTAAAAGGTTATGTAGCCTTTGGGAGAAGATTCTTATTTTTTTAAAGGAAAAATGAAGTGTCTGGTTTATAGAAAGTTGATAGGTCGGTCTAATTAATGCTAAGTCATATTATTCTAAAGCTACTGATGTCACTGTGTGTGACTGAGACTGCTCACACCTCTCATCTGAGCTGACCTTAGTCTTCCTGGCCTGACCTGGAATGTGTCAAAGTGCCCTTCTTTCCTTGGATGGCTTTATTCATCAGTCCTTCTTCATTTGCCATCTGATCATATCTCATCCTTCAAAACAGACTTTTCAGAGGTACAGAGATGTCTGTGATTGGTACTATAAATCCCCATCTTGTAACAGTACCTGTCTCAGCCTTATTGATATAGTGTTATCCCAAAATATTTTTACCTTCTTGTTCACTGTCTTTAAACAGTCTAGTCACTTCAATTTTTTCTGAGCTCTTAAATATATAATATTAATGTCTCTTATTAAATTAATAACAGCCAGAAAATTAGTTTTCAAAAACATGATAAAAATGATTTTCATTACTTCAATTGTTATTTTTCACTATTGTTTGACATTTTTTGAAATTGTAATGAGCAATGTTCTGCATGTATAAGTGCAACTGGAGTCTGTTATTTTTGGAAAGAATGATATTTAATTATATTTTTAAGTAACAATTTTATTTAGATATTCTTTAGAGAGACCCTGGTCTAATTTGTGTTTATTTAGTTACTTAATAATTCAATAGATTGCCTTTTATGTTGTGATTTTTTACTGAGATTACAGTAGAAACATTATTTAATGCAATTTTACATTTACACAGATGGCTTTTCTGATTAAAACAGCTATAATCCATTCTTTACTTAGCTTCCTATCACTTAAAAAAAAAACAAGTTTGAGATTAACGTGGAAACTGCCCTCTTTTAATTTTTTATTTTCTATAAAGTTAGGGAGAATGTACACACACACACACACACACACACACACCATCTCCTCCTGAATACATACCCCTGCTGCTCCATGGCATTTTTCCAGGTGTCACCTGAATGTCCTCCCCTTTATGAGCCACAAGGTATCTACCAGTGCATCAAATAAAAACAGGATCTTACTTCCATTCTGACACTTAAAGTAATTTCAGTGAAGACGTATTATTTTCATCATCCCAAGAACCCAGACTAGAAACGTTCACTTCCATAAGACATTGATGTTGGTAAATAAGAAACTCCTGTGCACATAACTCAAGGTCAGCAGGACTCGGCCTCAACTTCAACGTGTAGTGTTTGGAATTCTCAAGTGTGACTGGAAGAATGTCGTTGAACTCCACATCACAGAGCACCTGGGTCTCCAGAGAGTAAGTGTCATTGCAGCAGGTGGCACCAACACCTCCAGTCCTGGTGCTGCGGTCTGAGCATTGTATCTTTACCTACAGCTCAGCACAGATGAAACCCACTCCTCCCTGGGTCAAGTTAGCAAGTGCATTTGAACAATTTATATAAAGGCTATAAAGATCAAGAATGTATAATAAAATTTTTGAATATACATAGCATCCAGATCTTGGTTTCTAATAACAGGAATTGGAGCATGAGTCCATGCTTATATAAGTAATTGACTGAATAAGTAAATAAATGGGAGCAGATAGACAAATGTCCCATAGGAAAATTCCAAATAATTCATGCAGAGGCCCTGCCCTCTGGAGGGATGCACAACTCCCCACTTTGTGACTGTGAGCTGCCCAGGCGACTTCCTTCCAAAGGAAAGAGCATAGAAAGGGGTGGGTGGGAGAGAAGAGCTAGACCATAGGGAAGCTGTCAGAGACCACCTCAGCCATGGTCAAGGTCCACATCAGCACTGGCACTTTACCTCATCACCTTCCTCCCAGCAACCCACAAATCAGTGTAATCGTGAGAAAAACATCACACAAATACAAACTGAGGGGCATTCTACAAGGTGCCTGACCAGTACTCTTCAAAACCTTGAAGGTTGACAAAATATGAAAGTCGGAGAAACTGTCACAGCCAAGAGGAGCAAAAGGAGTCATGAGGAGAAAACGAAAGTGGCATCCTAAATGAGACCCAGACACAGAAAAAGGGGCAACGGGACAAAACTGAGGACACTCAGTGAGGAGTGAGGAGACCTTAATAAATTATCAATTAGGACCACTAATTAATAAGAATATACCAACATTGTTTCATCAACGTTAGCAAATGCACATAGCAAAAGTAAGGTGTTAATAACATAATACATGTAAGACAGAGAAAATGGGCATACAACATCCATATTATCTATGCAGTAATGCTTTACCTCTGATGCTATATCAAAATAAGAAATATTTTTTAAAAAAATTAATGTGGAACTGACATAAAATATATATCAATGAACTAGATTAAATATAATGAAAATGCAATGCATTTTAAAGGATTTAAGTTTACTAAAGAAAATTGGATATTACAATCAATAGTAATTGAATCTTCACCTCATCCAGTGCAAGTGAGCAAACAGCTTATCTGGAATGCCACTGATGAAGAAACTTCGATTAGCATCATCACAAAAGGGTTCTTGAACACAAACCCCTTGGGGACAAAGATGATTTTGTAACCTGCCTGTAATCTGGATCAGTCACCCCCTGCCAGTACCATAACTCCCTTCTTATCCTGTTGACTCAGAGGTACGAGGAGCACAAAGTGGCGAGGGGAGTCTTAACTTCCAGTTTAGTGAAATCTTTGTTGTACCCCCCAGAAGAAGCATTCTTCTCTCTGGATCTAAGATGTCTAGGCCAGCAGAGCATAAGGTTACAGGAACAGGAAGCAAAAGCTTTCCTAGTGGGTCACTAGGGGTGGTACGGAGTGGTACCATCCCTGTCTCCACCCCTTGGTTCCTGGACCCATGAATTCTTGCAATGGGAGAGACAGTACCATATAGTGGATGCTGACGTAGAGGGTAGACACTTCTGGAGGACCTTGCCCGAGGCCTCGCTGTATTGCCATCTAGCTGGCCCTGGAACTGCATCTTCCAAAAGTCCATTCCATTATTCCATCAAACCAGCTGCTTCAGGACAGTAGGGAACAGAGTCCTCACACTTATTTCCAATGAAGATGCAGAGAAGAGTGTGTTCTCATATGGCTAGATGAAGTATGAATTGTATTAATTATTTTTTCAGGGAAAATGGCAACTATATATATAATATTATATATATTATATATAATGTATTATACATATTATATTATATATATTATATGTTATATATATTATATATCAGTATATATATTTAGTGTATATATTTATATATTTAGTCTTATATATTTAGTATTTATATATTTATATATATTTTAGTGTATGTATATGTATTTTAGTATATGTATATATACACATATATATACATATATATATTTAGTGTACACACACACACACACACACACACACTTGATTTATTAAGGCTCTTTGGGACAATATCTCACATAAACATACATGCCAGCACATGAGGATGTGGGTTTAAGTATACAATGTATAATGGAAAAATGGAAATAAGTACCTATAGAGTGAATAGTTGAATAAACAATGGTATATCCTTATCAAGAAATATGTGATCATTAGAAATAGTTTTACATGCAAAGCAACTGTTTTAGTTAGCATTTTTGTCACCATGACCAAAAGACTTGACAAGAACAACTTAGAGGTGGAAAAGTTCATTTCGGCCCATGGTTTCAGAGGGTCATTTCATGGTCTGAGGACTCCACAGCTCTAGGCTCAAGGTGAGGCAGAACACCGTGACAGAAGGGTGTGATGGAAGAATCAGCTCAGGACATGGCAAGCAGGAAGTAAAATGAGAGAGCTCCACCCAGCAAGGACAAAATGTATCCCCCACTGCCCTGCTTCCTCCAGCCACAACCTACCTGCCTACAGTGGCCACCCAGTTAATCCATATCAGTGGATTAATCCACTGATTAGTTTACACATCTCACAACCTAATCATTCCACTCCTGAAAATTATTGCATTGTCTCACTCATGAACTTTTGGGGGACACCTCATCTCCAAACCATAACAGCAACTACTGGAAAGTGTATGTGGGATACTCCCATATTATAAAGAAAACAGAGAGAGAGAGAGAGTTTTAGCAATTTTACCAGGGTGAGGGAACATGATGATGAGCTGTATGAAAAAGATTGTTGGGGAAAAATGCAAATAAAAGAGGGAAAGAAACAAAATAATATAAACAAAAAATAAAAAACCAAGCATGTAATTTATTCTATTTGTATGAAATCACTCATATGTGAACATATGTGAACACATGTGTACAAAACTTAAGTTAGTACCAATAAATACAAACTAAACCTCCAGGAAGT